CATTTCTAAATGATGTAATGAAATGTGATGTCACTACTGAAGATAAGTATGGCTACACTTGTGTCACAAGGGCATGTGAATCTGGTAATCTTGATCTTTTAAAATTATTAGTAAAACAATACAACCTTAATCCTAGAATATTTGGCAGAGCATCATCACCAGAAGCTGCAATGGTACATGGACATGTTCATATACTAGAATGGTTTAAACAAGAGTATCATATCAATGTAGCTTCATTTAAGAATGGTGTATTACCTTTTTATGCTGCACAATTCAACCGTTTGTATTGTTTAAAGCATTTATTGAACACTTATTTATTTGATATTAATGCCACTGATTCTAGAGATGATAATCAATCTACACTCCTTCACATAGCATGTCAGAAAGGACATGTTGCTATAGTTCTCTACCTCACTAGTCTTCCTCAGTGTGACGTATCAGCTAAAACTTCAAATGGATCAACAGTTCTTCATTTATCATGTAAAAGTCATTCTCTTCCTATACTCAAACATCTAGTGGAGGAACATCAGTTGGATCTCACTATTAAAGATTACAATGGAATGGCTCCAGTTCATGTAGCCTGTGAAGAAGGATCATTGAGTATAGTCAAGTACATTATAGACCATTCACCATTATCTCTTGATATGACCGACTCTTTTGGACGTACTCCACTACTTATTGCAGCTTTCTCTAAGAACCTTCCCATCATTCGTTACCTCAACAGTAAAAACTGCAACATTTCTATACTGGACGATAAAGGGTTTAACGTAATACACATATCGGCAAAGGGAGGGTCTTTGGATATATTGAGGTTTTTCATTGATGGTCGTTACTGTAATCCTGATATCACTGATGCCATTGGTTGTACTCCACTTTATCTGTCAGCTCAAGAGGGTCACTTGGAAATAGTAGAATATCTATTGGATAGTCCAAGCTACAATAAACCACGTGTAGAATTAGTAGACATGGCAGATAGCAATGGTAACACAGCACTTCATGCAGCATGCAGCCAGGGTCATCCTGATATAGTGTCTACTATAGCAGGAGCTTACAAGTCTCTTAATATTGATATTTATTCAATTAATGAGAAGAGACAGACTCCATTACACTTAGCAGCAGCTAATGGTCACGTTAATACAGTCGTGTGTCTCTTATCAGCCACTACTGGTACTAGAAATCATGAGAAGCTCCTTGGAGCAGTGGATGGTGATGGTTGTTCTCCTCTTCATTTAGCTTGTCAAAATGGTCACTATAGGATGACACTGTATCTCTCTGAGGTGTATCCAGCTAATGTTTATAGTGTGAATAATAATGAGGAAGGATTGCTTCATGGAGCTGCTGAGAGTGGTAATAAGGATCTAATCGAATTCCTAGTGGAATCACACGGTCTTGATCCAGAGTCACAGGATAAAGATGGAGTGACATGTCTACATATAATAGCAAAGCAAGGAGATAAAAAGATATACAAGTATCTTGTACCTCGTGTTAGGAATAATCCAACTCCTAAGGATAAAGCTGGTCGGTCTCCACTTCATTACGCTAGCAGACATTATGAGATGTCAGTGTATCTGATTCAATGTTTTAATATTCATCCTGAAGACAAAGACAGTAATGGATTCACTGGTGTTCATGCTGCCTGTCAAGCTGGTAACATGCGACT